TGGCGGGCTCCAGGGAGGACAATAGAAGGCCCTGGGTCCTTGGACCCCGCCCCGCTCCCCCTCCGGTCCACGGCTTTGCCCGGAGGGTCTCACCTCCCCACACCCGCTTAGGGACCGACCCCTCTTCCCACCCCAATGGGTGAGGTGGACGCCTCCCCGCTCCTGTCTGAGCACGAGGGGCCGACAAGGTACTCTGAGCTCTTCTGGACCCCGTAGGGGCTGGGATGGGGAGGGTGGGGGGTGGGGGGCAGGTAAAGGCCCAACAGCCAGCGCAGGGCTGAGAAACCCGGAGTTTGTGTTTCGCTGGCCCCCTCTGCAGTGGGGGAGCCACCCCTCTTCTCCCCCGCCGCTGCCGCAGATTACACACGGGCCTTGCTGTGTGCGCCCCCCTAACCCCCCGCAGGTAGCACTGCTCGGGGAATATTGTGCCAGGAACTGTCATGAGGACACACCAAGCGAGGGGCCGACAGAGAGGGGGTGTGCAGTCCTTTCTTACTCCCTGAAGTCACCTGTGGGTCTGGACCCTTAGTCCACGTGGGGCCAAGGCAGTGGGGGGAGGGGCGCGTGTAGGAGCTGTGTGTGTGCACCAGGTGCCGGTTCCTGCGGGGAAAACTGGGGAAGGGCCCCCTCCCGTGAACACAGACACCACCACACAACACAGACCCACGGCTTCCTGTTCGGGGCTCAGACACCACGTGAAGACACCTTAGAACAGGTCCTTCTGATGTTTCAGGGACAAATCCTCCAGGAGGGCACCCAGTCGGCTGAGCGAGCTTGCGGGCACACCTGTGTCCCGAGTATGTGCCAGGGGGCCCTGGCGGGGTGTGGCCATGTCCAGGCCCCTCTCTCCGCCCTCCCGAAGCTCCCCAGTTTGGCAAGCCTAGAAGTGGGTCTTTTGTTCTCAAGAGAAGCCCCTCCCCCACAGTGTCCATGAGGTGGCTTCCTGTGGTTGGCTTCTGGCCACTGGGGCTCCGCCCTGTCCCCATTCAGGGGGTCCTTGGTGAGCATTTGGCTCTTCCTTGGAGCCAGCTGTGCCTCCCTGTCTGAGCAGCAGAAGCTTTGCAGCGTCCCCTAAGCCAGGACCCGTCACCGGCTGGCTTCCCTGTGGAATGGCATCAGACCAGGCTGGCTCCCCCTTCATCCCCAGAGGGCTCCAGGCTGACTCACCATCCTGTCCATCTTCCAGCAAAGGCTGGGCCTGCCGGGAACCAGTTCCCAGCACCAAGTCCAACAGTCAGGGCTGGGGCTGCCAGCACGGGTGAGGTGGGGACTGGTCCGGCGGCTGCAGACGCATCTAGAACTACCTGGGAGTTGGCTGATGCCGTCACTTCCACCTCCACTGAGCCTGTACCAGGAACAGGGCTGACTGCATGTCGGCGTCTGGAGGAACCAGTGGCTCCCCAGAAAGAGGCCCAGGGTTTTAGCACAGGGAGGACCCAAGGGCCCTCAACACCGTGCAGCAAGGGCCACCCCAGATACCAATCCCAGGGACACCGCCTGCAGCCACTGGACAGCCTCGCCCATTCAGGGCGGCCTTGCCTCAAATACCTGCCAGGGCTGGAAGTGCTGGAGGAACGAGAACCCCAGTCCTGACCCACCCTGCACCTTGGACCCCCTGGGGTGACCCAGAGCAGGTGAGGCCTGCTATGCTCTGAACAAGGTCACAGTGGGTCACGGAGGTCCTGCTTCTGCTGCAGCTGAGGGCAGCCTGGACCATTCAGCCTCCTCTCCATGGAGGTGCCCGGGGGCAGGACTCTGCCCTCCAGCTGCCTGGGGCCGGGTTCGCATACACGGAGAAGGCAGACACAGCATCAGAGCAGGTGCAACTGGGCTGGGGCTTCAGGCATGCTGGGTTCTCCGGGGGTTCTGGAATATTCCCCTCCCCCTTCATCACTCCCACCAGGCCCCTCCACAGCTCCTCCACCCTCAAGCTTCAAGCGCCTTTGGAATGAGCCAGTGTAGATGGCAATGGAGCTGCTCCAAACACACCATTTATTCCCAGACGCTTCCCAGCCCTGTTACCCTGGGTGCTGGTCATTGATTCGAACTAATGGCTGTGCCTCGGCCTGAGCAGGCAGTGGCATGCACTATCTGAGGGGCATGTGTGGTGCAAATAAATGGGCAGAGCCCCCAGCTCTCCAGCACCATGAGCCCGAGAAGAGATCAGCCCCATGCCCACTACGGCTCCTGCGGACACGTCTCTCTGCCGGGGACAGGACCTCACTCCTTCCCTGTGAGGACGGGTCCTGCTCATTACAGTCCCTTCTCCTGAGGTCCTCATCGAGAGAGCGGCGCTCTGCCAGCCCACGGACTTCGCCTCCCCATGGGCGGGGGCACAGTGGGTCCTCGCCTATCTCTGGGTGCGGGTGGATTCTCCCCAAGTGGGCTATGTCTGTCCAGGAGCCCAGGCCTGCCCTGTGGCCCCATCTCCCCAGCCTCCTGCATCCCCCACAACTCCTGGAGATTTTCTGCTGATGCCTCTCTGGCCCAGAGGGTCCGTGCGCCCACACCTTCGGAGATCATCTAGTCCGTCCTTTCTGGCAAGTGACTGCCACTCCCTCTGCCCAGCCCCTGGCCTGAGCCCTCGGGCACCTCCCTCACCAGGAGCACTGGAGCACCTCTCGGAGTGTCTTCCGGAGCTCCGGGCTGCGGAAGGCATAGATGAGCGGGTCCACGATGGTGTTGCAGATGACGAGGGCCAGGAAGAGGTTGAAGTTCCTGAAGATGCAGTGGCAGGTGGGGTGTTGAGGACAGAGGACGATGAGCAAGAGGTGCAGGAAGAAGGGGCCCCAGCAGAGGAAGAAGATGCCCAGCAGGGTGGTGAGAGTGGCAGCCCCTTTGAGGCCGAAGCCCTGGGGGACAGGGCGCTGCCTCTTGTGCAGCCGGGCGATGCCGCGGGTGTGCTGGCACGCCTGCACCAGCATGCGGACGTACAGCACTGCCATGAGCGCCAGCAGGGCCACAAAGAAGCTGACCAGACAGAGCAGGACGGCCGTGTGGTCGTAGTAGGCGATGAAGAGGGTGCTGGAGACGACGCTGGCCACCCAGATGCCCGCGATGGCCCACCACACCCGGGGCAGCGTCACGAGGCTGTGGTAGCGCAGCGCATAGAAGATGGAGAGGTACCGGTCCACGGCGATGGCGGCCAGGAAGCAGAGGCTGGACACCATGGAGCCACAGATGAGCACGTCCAGGACGTCATCCAGCCGCTGCACCGCGGGGGCCCGGGCTGCCAGCGCGCCCGCCTCCAGCAGCAGCACCACGGCGGTGCCCAGCACGCTGCTCACGCTCACCAGCAGGTCTGATACGGCCAGGCCGCAGATGAAGAAGTACATGGGCGAGTGCAGGTTGCGGTTCTTGGCGATGGCGGCCACCACCAGCACGTTCTCCACCAGGCTCACCAGCCCCAGGCTGAGGAAGAGCCCGTTGGGAATGGACACCTCCAGGCACCAGGTGCCCGTCTGGTTGGGGGCCAGCCCGAGGTGGGGGGTGGCTGGGGAGGTGGAGTTGAGGATGCCCAGCAGCCTCCTCTGGGGGCCCTGTGCCAGCATAGTCCCCCCAGGAAGCAGGAAGGGGCCTCCCGCAATGGGCATCCGCTCAGCTCATGGTGTCCCCAGTGGGGCCCTATGCACCCCCGGGGCCCTCTCACACTCACCCTCTCCCTGGCTGGACAGATGCTAGCCCAGGTGCCCCCGCTTCTCGACCAATCTGGTCACTTCCCAGCCAGGACCCCAAGCTCCGCAGCACCAACCCTCTGGCCCTCGGCCCACTCCCCACCTCTCCCCTGAGGTGTGGTCGCTCAGGCCCACATTTCTATGCCTCCTGCCTCCCAGGCCAGGCAGGACTGCGGTCCAGGAAGAATGGAGCCTTTCTCTACATGCTTCACATCGTCCGCTCAGCCCCTCCTCCTGAGGGGTGCCACATGATGGGCGTGTGCCCGGGGATTCATCAGAGAGCACCCTGGGCGCCCCTGCTGCCAATAGGCGGCGTACCTGGCACCCAGGGCCGTCCGGCTTCTCAGGCCCCAACTCCAGGCACAGCCGACATTCCCCTTCCTGCTCACAGCCACTGCAGCGTCACCAGTGTTCTGCCAGCCAGCGCCCAGTCAGGCCTCAGCTCCAGGCGCCTGTGCGGGGTGTCCTCTCGACCTGCCAGAGAGGCAAACACCACTTCCTGGAAGCCTCCGGTTCCTGAGGCCAGCCTGTGCTGTCTGCCCGGAAGCGTCTTTGGCCTTTGGTCGTCCACCCCGACTCCCTGTTAGATGTTCACTGAGGGCAGCTCATCCCCAGGCCCCCCAGGCCCTTTGCTGAGTGCTGCCCGAGGGCAGCCTGGCCCATGGGCTGGAAGATACGCTGTGTCATCCTGGGGGGGGGGGTGGCGGGCAGCCTCGGACAGAGCTGCCGGCAGCCCCATTGCTCTGGGGAAAGATGCCACAGGCTCCAAGCCAGGAGCCACTTCCAGACAGACCTCAGTCTCCAGCCACGGGGCCGCTGTGGGAACACGGGCCCAGAGTGCCCGTGGGCACTGTGCTGGCCTCATGCCACCCCAGCACTTCCTCACTGAAGATGGCACCTGTGACCACAAACCCTGCTCTGGAGGCCGAGGCAGAAGGAGAAGGGGACGGTGAGGCAACCAGAAAGATAAGTGGCTGGCGGCGGAGATGGGGCCGGGAGGGAGTTGCGGAGGTCTGTGTTTTTTCTTTTTTTAATTGATTTTTAGAGAGGAAGGAAGAGAAAGAAACATCAATTTGTTGTTTCACTTATTTAGGCATTCACTGGTTGCTTTTTAAAATTTTTTTATTGTTGAAAGCATTACAGATACTGGGTGATTCTTGTACGTGCCCTGACCAGGGGATCGAACCCACAACCGTGGCGTATGGGGATGATGCTCTAACCAACAGAGATGCCCGGCCGAGCAGGTCTGTGTTTTGAGTTGTAGCTAAGATGTTCCTGCTCGTTCCTTCCGGTCCACCGGCTGCCAGATGGCTTGACAGGCCCACATGAGCACACACTGATGTCCACTTATCGACATTGATCACTCCTTCCAGCGCACAACTTATGGTACAGAGCTCTCCCCCCCTTTTGAAGCACGTCACAGGTACAGCACACACCACGCAGGGTGGCGGATGCCCCGAGCTAGGTTTGTGCCTCCTCAGCATAGAGACGCCCCAACCACACTGGTCATCGGGGCAGCTCCCAACACATCACAGTGCCGCTGGGCACTCCTGCCCCGTGTCTGGTGACCAGTCAGGTGTCCCTCTGGGTGACACAGGAATTCCGTGGCCGAGGCAGATCTCCGCTTTGGTAGACTCAGCCAAACAACTTTCCAAAAGGGGACCAGGTGCGTTTCTGGAGGTTGCAGCCCCCACTCCCCAAGTGTGGATGGAATGACGGGCCTCTCCAAGCTCCACAGGCAGCAGCACAGGACGGGTCCCACTGCACACCCCCTCCCACCCTTTGGTGGAGGACCCCAGAGGGCCCCAGGACAGGAACATGAGGCTGTGCTGTGGCAGGAAGGTGGTCCCAGCAGCTGTGAGGGTCCACGGTCCCTGCCACACCTCCCAGGGCTCCACTGAAGCTCCACGCCCCTAAGAGCTGCCTTCTAGCCCTGGGCACCGATGGTGCCCGCTGGGTGAGCAGGGCCCTGCCCACCACATTTCAGGGATGCTATCATTTCCGGCTCTATAAATGAGGCCTTTGAGGTGGCCAGTGCCCCCACCCCAGCCTGAGACTTCAAAGGGCATGAGACTGGGCAGCCGTTGGCAGGTGACCACAGCCTTCTTCCCGGGAGGCCTCAGGACCCCATTGGTTCTAATTGCACTCGCCTGTTGGGGACTCTGTGGGAGGGAGACAGCAGATACAGCTGAGTTGGGAAAAATCAACTTTGTGATTAGTTACGGTCATGGGGGAAATGTCGGAAATCACAGATAACCCCGAGGCCATTTGAATCACTCGCTCTCTGGTGCCCCTGGGAGATGGCGTGAGGAATGGCAATGGACACAAGAGCGCGTCCCACCACGAGACAACGAGCCTGACTCACATGTGAGGAGGCTGTGAGGACAGGAAGTCCCTCAGTCTTGTTACTGCTGTCTCCCCAGCACCAAGAGGCACACAGTGGGCACGCAACATGTGAGCATTCAGTATGCGCGTGAGCTCCACGGGGAAACGGGGGCATGGACAGCTCAATGAAGGGGTGCATGTGTCCAGCCTAGCCACACCAGCGGGGTACGGTCACAGCCGTGCAGCGTGCAGCCTGCCCCGTGGCTCTCTGCGCAGTGGGATCTCAGGAAGGGCTGGCCCAGAGCTGGGTCAGTGTCTTGGTTCAAAGGTGGTCTGGTTTCCCTTGACCTGGGGGGGGGGGCGGTCAGGGCCGGGAGGGTGCCCTGCAGACAGGATGCTTCCAGCTCACAACCTCAGTGTCCTGGATCCTTCCAGAACCAAACAGGCTCCCATGTCACAGCAGCCTGGTGTGGTTCTCAGCTGCCAACCTGCCAACAAGCCTGCCTCCATGTTCTGGTCACGCTGCAGATCAAATGCCCCCAATCTCTGCCGTCCATTCCTGAGCCATCATCTTGCAGGCTCCCCTGACTCAGTGTTTTCTAATAAAAACATTATGTCGGACTGGAAAGACCCGCCTGTGTGCCCAGCCCGGGGACCTGGTGCCTGCCCTCCCGCCCTGGACTTGCCCCAGGGTCAACAGAAGCACACAGGGCCCCTGCCTCACGCTGGGCACTGACCCAGCTTGGGAAAGAGCTCACATGCGCGGCATAACGTTCACGTGTACAGGAGAGACAGGGAGGCAGACGGACATGGCATTTTTACTTCAGGGAACCGGTCAATTCTGACCAGACAAATCAGGAACATAATTGTACAGTGTGGGCGTGGCAGCTGTGCGCTCAGTCCCACTCCCCGTCCCCCTCGGCATGGTCCTCAGGCGGAGCCTCTGGGTCATGGAAGTGAAAGGTGGCCATCATGTCTCGCACAGCCAGCATCAGCCTGTTCAAGCCCTGGTTATGGTCCAGGCCCTCGGCCCCTCCGTCCTCTTGCCTCTCCCCCTGTGGCAACGAGACCCATCTGAGCAGGGCTCCCTGGGCCCCGGCATGCCCACGGAGCTTACTCAGGACCTGTCGAGGCAGCAGCCCCTGGAAGCCATATACACGCGTCTACCTAACAAGGCCAGGCCACCAGCGTGGGCTCCAGCAGCCCCGCTGACTGAGGGGTGTTCTGTCCCATCGACAGCCATGCCAGCTTCCTAGGCAGACTGGGTGCCCCTGCTGCCGGCAGTGCTGGCTCTGGACAGTCACACCTGAAGGGACCTGTTTACCCGGTGGCCAGCAGAGGCCAGGTGAGCTCACCTACCTCCATGGTGTAACTGGGCAGAAGTGACCGAAAGAAGAGGGCGATTGTGTTTCCATGGCTGACGGGGCTCAGCCTGAAAGAGAGAGAACAGTGAGGAAAGGAATCAGAGACAGAAAGGCAGCAGCTGGGGACGGGGCTGAGCTGGGGCCTGGAGCCCAGGGGCAGGCAGCACAACTCAGTCAGCTCAGGGGGTGCTGCCGGCACCCAGCGCCACGGGGACTGTTCCAGAGCCCGGGGCTGGCCCTCTACAGCCTGGCTCCGTGAACCAAGTGGAAAGCATAGCCCACCACAGCCAGGTGCCTTGCTTAGAAGCGAAGATTCGGTTGCAAAGTGTTCTTCAGCACTCAAGCTGAAGGAGTCTAGGAAACTGGTCATAGAGAGATCCGGCCCTGGCCAGGGTGGCTCAGTTGGCTGGGTGTTGTCTTATTGCCAGTTTGATTCCCAGTCAGGACACATGCCCAGGTAGCAGCAGGCTCCATTCCTAGTGGGGTGCGTGGAGGAGGCAGGTGACTGATGTTTCACTTTCACATTGATGTTTCTCTCTAACAATTAAAAAAAAAAAAGCAGCCCTAGCCGGTTTGACTCAGTGGATAGAGCATCAGCCTGTGGCCTGAAGGGGTCCTGGGTTTGATTCTGGTCAAGGGCACATGCCTGGGTTGCAGACTCGATCCCCAGTACGGGTGTGCAGGAGGTTAGCTGACCAATGATTCTCTCTCATCACTGATGTTTCTCTTTCTCTCTCCCCCTCTCCCTTCCTCTCTGAAATAAGTAAAAATACTATATCTTTAAAAAAAAACACCAAAAACGATTCGAGGGCAAGTGTTAAGGGAAGGCCCCTCCTGGTGGAATGAGGGGCTGCGACCCAGCTCTAGGAGACACTGAGGAGCTGCTCGGCAGTGACCTTAATTTGCTCTGAAAGCTCCGGGTCTACACGGCTGGGGGTGGGGGACATGCTGAGTCACTGAAGCCCTACAGCCACTCCTCAGTGCTAAGATGTCCGGCCTGGGCCTGTGACACTGACAATAACTTCCACTGGAGCAGTTTACTGGGAACTGTTACCTACAAATAAGCAATCCAACTCTCATACTTTGGTGAGGAAAGAAGGATTTCTACAAAACGAGCTCTTTTGAGATCTGAAAGCTCATGCTCCCGTAAGTGGGACCATTTGTTGGTGCCTCTTCCAGATCTAGGACATGGTGAGGGCTCTGGGCAAGGCAGTTCCTCAGCTTTAAAGGCCAGAAGGAGAAAGGGAGCCGTCCACACACACCCAGCAGCTGTGGACGTGGCCCAGCCACTTCGGATGTCACCTCTTTACCTGGCTAGGGCACCCCAAATCTCAGTGTACCCTCCACTCTCAGCAGTTCCTGGTGGCAGTTTCCAGATTCTATACCTGACGTGTTTCCCCCACTGCATTGGACATGCCACCAGGGCAGAGGTGTCCTTACTGCTTCCCGCTGTATGTGCAGCACCTGCCACAGAACCTGACAGAGCGATGCTCCTAGTCAGACGAAGTCATGGACAGTACCCACGCCTGGACACGCTGACCCATGACCCCCAATCACTCTGCTCTGAGAGCCTGTGTCTGGCGGAGGCAGCAAGTCCCCGGCCCGAAGCACTGATCTGAGAGCCAGAATGCAAAGGCACCCGGAGCGGCGGACAGGTACCTCTCTGGCCTGGTGTAGGAGTAGATGGTATCTGAAGGAGGCAGAGGGTCAAAGCCCATCACAGACTGCGTGGTCACATCCTGCAGAATGAGACAGAGAACGGAGATGCAGCCGAGCCCTGTGCTGTGCCTCTGCTCCACCCTCCGCAGCCTGTCAGCAGATTCTGGTCTGGCCTGGGCCTTTCTGCTGGAGTGGCCCCAGCGGCCAAGCTGTGTTTACTGTGCCCCAGGCTTTGGGTGAGGGTGGGACACACCATCACCATCACACATGCCCGCAATCTCTGCCCAGGATGTCAGCAGCTCAGAGCAGTAGACTATAGGTTGCGAGGCCCTGAGGGGAGGGGCCAGCTCCCCCCAGCTCCCACTGCAGCCCCGCTCCTTACCGGGGGCAGCGCAGCAACAGCTTCTTTGATCTCAGAGAGGACCACGTGACGGTGGATATTTCTGGGCGCACGCTGGTAGAGCACCTTCCGCCTGGGCCGGGAAGAAAAAGCCCTCCTCAAACCCACATTCATGATCGAGATTCCCGAGTAGAGCGCCCTCATTTTTCTCCTGTGGACCTATCAGGCCAGAAGCTGTCCAGCTGCCCCAGCCCGTCTCACCTGTTCTCACACTCTTCCACAGCGGGGTCCCCAGCATCCACTGCCTGTAGGACCTCACGGACATTCTCCTCCAGCCAACTCATGATGGCGGGCTCCTTCCAGAGGAAGTGGGACCGCCCGAGGTACAGGCTCACCAGCTGGCTCAGCGCAGGGGGCTGGCTGCGGGAAGGCAGGGCCTGTAAGCATATCCCCCCACCCAGGTCCAGGCCTCCAGGTGCCTGCTGGCACATGCTGGGCACAGCCAGGGTGTGCCCAAAGCCTGAAGTGAGCGGAGGCTGCCCAGAGGGCTGCCAACCTGGGATATGCCACTGCCCAGAGGTGGGCGCAGGTGCTCACTTCTGAACATCGCGTGTGGTCGTTACTAAGTATGAGTTCCTTAACAGGAACGAAAAATACAGAAAGAACACAGGGCACCCATGCCCTGTCCCCCCACATCGGGAAACCTTGTGCTTTGGGCTGCAGGTTACTCAACCCCGCCAGCTCCATGTCCAACAGGCCAGGCCCCCGCAGACATGCAGACAGCCTGTACTATGCACATGTCACATCTGTGCCCCTTGGGGGGGGTCTTCCAGTCTTTACCTTATTTCGGAATTGGGTCCAAAGAAGGGGTGACAGGCGACGGCGGCATCTGGCCGAACACTGCAGCACTCGAGCAAGGGCATTAGAACTGCAGGAGGAAGCAGGGGCCTGATGGGTCACTCACGCACAAGGAGCCAACTCTGAAGGAGGGTCCTCTGTCCTGCTGTTTCCCAGGGGCCCCGTCTGCATCTAAGGGGACCCACCTGTGATCCCCAAGCATGGATGCCAGACGTTCTCATCCTAAAGACCACACACCCCACCCTCAGCAGCCCCCTCACAAGAGAGAACCCCATCTTCCCAGTGACTCCCCAGGAATGGGCTAAAATAGCATCAAGCTCCATTCTGACACAGAAGCAGCTTCACAGAAAGACCCGGACCTCTGTAGCCCGGTGAGCAGGGGCACCGCTGGCAGTTCTGTGGTGCAGGGCTCCACACCCCACCCGCACCCCCTGCTGTGTGCCAACAGCCCCAGCCCCAGGCAGGGGGCCTGGCTGCAGACCACCCTCCTCCACACTAACAGCCACAGCTCCAGCAGATGGATGAGAGGGTCGGTTCCCTGAGCCTGCTGGGCAGCCAGTATTCAGAGCGGCCAGGCCAAGGCGTGTGTGCAGGGCTGGGGTGGCTGAGGGTGCAGTGTGCTGGGAGCCTGAGCGCCTTGGCCTCCTCCCACCCCAGAGCCCCATCTCCCCTCTAGCACCGCCTCACACACCATCCTACTGTCTGTCTCCCTGCCCTGGAACATCAGCCCCAGAGGCGGGAATCCTGGCTGCTATCTCCTTGTAAAGCTGCATGTGGCGTAAGGACGCAGGGCCGGGGGAAGGGGGACAGCATCGAGCTCCTTTCCCAGGGCACACTCCCTTTCAGGATGTGCGGGAAGCTGCTGACTGCACCCAGGGATGAGCGCAGACCTCTGCACACGACGCCCATGGGGAGCTTGTCCAGGAGGCCCCAGGATGATCTGTCTCAGTCCCTCACACTGGTGAGCAGCAGCTTTGCAGACAAGAAAGCGCAGCCCGGCTGGCTAGCTGCCCCTCTCGTCCCCACTTCCCCAGTCCAGGTGCTCACTTCCTGCCCCTCAGAAAATGCCACCCTCCTCCTGAAGGTAACTTCTCATACTACCAACGTCAGAAGACACCCTAATACCAACCCCTCAGACTCACTTCACCACACGGGCAGGCCTGGCAGCACCCACCTCCAGGGAACATGAGGAGGGCCTGTCGCACCAAGAGAGAGGCCTTTTCCCTCGCGGAGCTGAGCTTGCTATACGCCAAGGGCACGGAGAAGGCGAAGTTTGGGAGCTGGGACAGGTTCCGATGAGCCTGCGAGGCAAAACCAGAGGCAGAGTTCTCAGAGAGCACAATGTGGAGGACAACCGCACGTCCGGGGGTTTTCCCTTCGCAGAAGCGACAGACAGAGGTTCCCCTTATCCTGAGCCCTGCACTCAAGTTCCACTTATAAACCAGGCAGAGTGAGTGGTTAATAGCAGTGAAACAGAACGGTTTGAAGTACGACAGCAAAAATAACGTGACTTTTTTCTTTCACGATTTCACGAAGAGTCGATTCCTTCCAGCCACAGATCTTAGCAACCTCAGTATATGACCTGCAGCAGGCGGCTTGTGGTTGAGGCCATGATGAAGTGAAATCGGGCGACCTGAGCACAAGCACTGTGACCCCCCACAGTAGACCTGGTAGCCAAGAAGGCTCCTCAGTGCTCCTGTCCTATGACACCGAGCAGAGCAGGCGGGTCTCCCGGGACCTTCGCCGGTGTCCTCAGCGTCCCTGGGGGACAGGACGGTGCCGGCCATCGGCATGCCCACCTACCTCCCACTCCTGGAACAGGCGGATCAGGTACTCGTAGTCACGCGCCCGTAGGGCCAGGTGGTCCACCAGCAGCAGCATGCACAGGGGGTCCTCGTCGGGCTCCAGGCTTCCGGAGGCAGCACGCGAGCAGGGAGGCAGAGGGAGATAAAACCCAGAGTGGGCCCCCGTGTGTCGCGGCCTGTGGCCCCGAGCATGCAGCCCGGCCGGACACTCACCTCAGGATGAGCTTGCAGTACTCCAGCGCCGTGCGCGGGCAGCCCCGCTTTTCCAGGAAGCTCATCTGCTTGTAGAGGGCCAGGTAGAAGCTCCTAGACCCAAGACAGTTCCTCGTGAGCCAGAGCGACAGCAGGTGGAAAAGCCACGTCGCCCGGGATCCTCATCCAGCACGGCCCCCTCGCGCCTGCCGCGTCATCGCCTTTCCTGTGTGGCCTAATCACTGTGAATGTTCGAAAGTGTCCCTGTGTCTGCGGAGAGGGTGACGCTCTGCTTGCTGTTTGAGTTTCACGTGCAACCATGACATAAAACCAAGCTTCTCAGTTCAAACCTTTATCTTGGGGTGGTTTTTTTTGCACCCCAACACCCATGGGAAGGTTGTCTGTGAGGCCCCAGGACAATCTTATGTCTCAGTCCCTAAAACTGGTGAAAAGCAGGGTTGCAGTTATTACTTATGGGAAGAGAGTTAAAATCTGTCATTACAACCTTCATCTTTCCTCACATTTCCACAGTCAAAGTAGCTCTGATGTTGATGGACCAAGTCTGTGACTGCAATGATCCCAGCAGGCCATTATTTTTATCAACGCCTACTGCCTGGTTAACGCCTGGAATGTGAGTATCTTATAGCCTGTCTTAAAGAACTAGGAATTTAACTGGAGCAGCCAGGCTAACAAACACAAGCAGTGGAGGAAGCTCAGATGCAGTCCCCAGTGCAGACGGTGCAGTGGGTCAGCATGCCTGGGACCCAGGACGGCCTCCAGGGCGGGGGAACGCCCCAGAACAAAGGGCATGCCCACCCCGCCAGGGCCCTGAAGACCAGGAGGAGGGCAGCGGGGAGGCTGTTGTGGCCATCAGGGCCTGAGTAGGGGGCGGAAGTTCAGGACGGCACAAGTCTCTGTAAGACAAGAGGGCCCATGCCCACAACTGCTCACTGCAGAGCAACAGGGTCTGGCTGAATTCCAGCTACTCACTCCTGAACCACACACCCCCGCGTACAGGGCATTGCAGAGCTTCCTAAACTCTCAGGCATGGATCCTTTGTCCAAAGACACAAGGAAACACGATGACAGACCCCATCACGGCAAAGTGGCTTAGCAGGCTCACTTCTAACACAAACACATGTTACCCCAGCCCTCTTGCATTCAAGCTTTAAACCCAGTGAGATGCCTGGCTCAAGCCACCTGGTGGGACCCCTTGTGGACAGCCCACGCCACCTGCTCCCACTCCCTTGCCTGGGTCTCATGTCACCTGTGAAAGCTCCCACACACAAGAAAAAGAGCAGTGAGTGCAAGCAAAGCCCTTCGGGGAGGCCGGCTCACCTGTTCTCGGGTCTGCGGTAGTCCAGCCGGCAGGTCCCACTGGTGAGGCTGAACAGGGGGTGGAAGGCACACTCCATGCTGTACAGCGCTCTCTCTGTGGGGCACACAAACACCAGGGGGGGCATCACAGCCACTGTGCAGCAGCTGCAACCCCGTCCTCTGTGGCTCACAACAAGGAAAGCTCTGGAAGGAGTCAGGTCACTAGGATTTGGGGGAAGTGACTGCACCAACGTGACCCGAGGGATCCCCGAGCTGGCAAAGCCGATTCCAGACAAAGAAATGCAAACACAGGCCAGCAGCTCACTCACGAGGGCCACAGTGTGGGGACAACCCAGGGTGTCACGTGCTGGTGGTGACACCAATGGGGCCCATTACCCACTGGAACATCACCCAGCCTGAGAGACACTGCGGTGCATGAAGAAGCCAGACAGATGTGATCAGAAACGTCAACAGGCAAATCCCGAGGCAGAAAGCAGACTGGTGGTTACCAGGCGCTGGGGACTGGGCGGTGACTGAAGAGCTGAGGTTTCTTTTTAAGTGACAAAAATGGTCTAGGACAGGGGTCCTCAAACTTTTTAAACAGGGGGCCAGTTCACTGTCCCTCAGACCGTTGGAGGACCGGACTATAGTTCAAAAAAAAAACTATGAACACATTCCTATGCACACTGCACATATCTTATTTTGAAGTAAAAAACAAAACGGGAACAAATACAATATTTGTATTTGCATGTGGCCCGCGGGCGTAGTTTGAGGACCCCCGGTCTAGGATCTACGAGGCTGTACAACTCCAACGCTTTTAACAATATCCTGGGAAACACATTTGTACCCCAGTCACTTTATCGAATGGCTTCTATGCCACAGCCTCTGAGACACTTGTGGGAGGGGACGTGGGCGCTGCAGCAGGGCCAGTAGAGCAGCTCTCACCCACGAGGTCTCGCGCCATCTCCTGATCATCCTGGAATCGGCAGGCGTCGCTGAGCTGCAGCAGTGAGTCGACGTGATATGGGCTTGTCTGCAGCAGAACCTGCGAGGCAAGAAGGGAAGCTGACGTGGCTACGGTCGGGGCCTCCAGGGACAACATAGGAGGCACCAGCCCCCGGGCACTTGTTTCTTTCAGGCATCTAAGCTTCGGGGAAAGCATCATGGGGTGAGTCATGATATCCTCCAGCCCAAACAGTGTTCAACATGGTGTTCAACACTCTGTGCCCAGGTGTCTCCACCTTCACCCTCCCACAGCCTGGTCCCCACACTGGAGGGGAGCAGCGAGCCCAGCAGCAGCGCCCTGAGCACGGCTCCCGGGACCCAGTCCTGCTGTGGGACTCACGCACCACGATGTTGTTGGGCTCCATCGACTCCACGGCAGCCAGGAACTTGTGCTGTGTCTGCTGGTACTCCTCGCTGTGCTCGAATGCAAAGCAGGACAGGCCTTTTCTGGACTCCAGCAGCCGCATCGACAAGCCTGGGGAGGACACCAGGGCAGCTCCTCAGGTGCTCTTGGCGAGGAACCTCTGTGTGCAGAGTGCGAGCTGCCGCATCGAAGCACTGGTTCCGCCGCGGAGCGTGGTCCCAGGTGCCTGCGGACTGCCCGCACCCTCTCTGCTCTTTTCCTACAGATGTTTCTCCTCCAAGGAGTGTGGACAGAGGACCAACACCCAGGACAACGTGCAGGGGCCGGGCAGGCATGGAGGAGACATGACTGCAACCCACTACCAGATGCCCTTTCTGGCTGCTTCTCGTGCCCAACTTCAGGGGTACAGGGTCATTTCTGCTGATGAACCTGGAAACTCCCATCTCCCTTCAGCGCCTTCATGAAATAGGTCAGGGGTTACCGGTCACCCCTGGCTTACTTTACTAGCACTACACTAAGGCACTTATCGCAGGACACACAGCTGATGCCCCCCATCTCTGCCCATGCTCGGGGCCTCCCTCCCCTAACCCCGCCTTGGCCCGAGGGCTCCCAGCTGCTCCTCCAGGCCCTGTAGCCAAGCAACCCTGACAGGACACTTATCCACACCCATGCCTTTCTGCACAATTGCTATTTTTCTTTCAATTATGTGTACTTACTAGTTTGCAACAAAATATAAAATGTGACACTTCAAAAATGAACTTGATTGCTTCCTATGATATAATACCAACAGGGAAAAGCAATAATATAGATAAAAAGCTGCATTAAAACATGGTCAAGCCTGGCCAATGTGGCTCAGTGGTTGAGCTTCAACCCAGGAACCAAGAGATGATGGTTCGATTCTTGGTCAGGGCACATGCCGGGGGTGTGGGCTTGATGCCCAGCTGGGAGTGTGCAGGAGGCAGCTGATCCATGATTCTCTCTCACTATTGATGTTTCTATCTCTCTCTCCCTGTCCCTTCCTCTCTGAAATCAAGAAAAATATAGACACACACACACACACACACACACACACAAAACCATGGTCAAGAAGACACACCGTTGGCGTGGGATCTGTGCCCCAACACTGGTGGCACCACGCCAGGCACCCGATCACACACCTGCACAGAGCTTTGCAGAGGACTGACCTGGCCCAATGGGCTCAGATACCAATGGTGCCCAGCGTTGGCCAACGCACAACCCCGCACCTCTGAAGCCTCTCACCTGGCTTGGCGTACCGGGGCCAAGTACTCTTAGGGGTCGTCAGCCACGTACACTTGGGGTACACGCGCTGTCTCTGCCGCGGCCTGTGGAGAACAGGACATGGCACCGCTTCACTTACACTGCCCGACCTCTGCTGGGCTGTGGGAGCAAAACCTCAGGGCGGGGGCAGGGGGGTGAGGCCACAAGGACAAGGACACACGTTTCTCTCTCTCCCCGTCTCTCTTCCTATCTAAAAATCAATAAAAACATTTTTTTTAAAAAAGAACTGTTACATTAACAAAGGTCAGACTTGTCCTAGAACCGAAACTTCATGTTAGTGGTGATGCTGACTGAGCTGCAAGAAGGAACCTGCTGAGGGTTCAGGCTGGAAGTTCACACTGGAAGTTAAGGGTTTTGGAACGTCGGCTACAGAGGCCCCGAGCCAGCAGCACAGACAGCCACACTCCAGCTCCTCCCTGACCCACCCTCAGGCCCCTCACAACGGGGCACCCTGAGGGTCTCGTTTTTTCACTGTGGCGTTGAGAACCCCACCTTTAATTGAGAACATGCCCGTGTGGGTCTCACCTTTGTTCCCCTAGGACAGCTCGGGCACCGAAATACCTTTTCAGTTCTGTGTCTGGATTTAAGTGTCTAGAGAATTGAAAATTTTAAAAGAAAAATGAAATTGAGTTCTAATAACAATTCTGAGAATTTTAGAAAGTCACATAAAAACCCAGTGAGGAAAACAGCTATTCTGGTGTCCAAGACAAGAGGGGGCCTGCTTTCCCTAACACCACGGCCCCCAGGCGGTGACCTGAGGCTGGCCACTACTCTCAGCCGAGTGAGGGCAGTGAAAGACCTGGACTCGTCGGGATTCCCACCAACTCAGGACCAACCTCTACAGTGGGGACAGGGTTCCAGCATCTACAATCCAGGAAAACATCTTAGGTCAATAGTGTTCCCACACTGTCAGCTAGAAGTGGAAATGGAGGCATTCCCCCTTTCCCCTTTCTCCTTGTCCTGGTTCCTGAATGTCTGATAATGCGCTTGTATCGCTTCTAAATACAGTTAGTTTCTTCTGCTCCCAATAAGGACCTTCCTCAGCACGCAGTCTGCAGGCGCGGGAGAGGGTACCTGTGCTCCACATACAGGACGTGCTTCCTCGAGCTCAGGGGAGGTGGGCTGGGGTGGTGAGGGCCACTGCTGTCCTCAATCCTCTCCAAGATGCGATCAATGTCTTCCAGCCCATTTTCCTAAAGGCCCCAAACAGCAACATATTAATCCCCACCCTCACTTTATCGTACATGTTATAATAACCAATAACTGACTCGTTTTTACAAAGCACTCATTGCAATCCCGTTTGCTTCCTGACAGACAACAGGCATGTAACAGGTTCTTCGTAAGCAGCAGCAGCACAGACTCGGAGCCAGAAGAGCCCTCAAGAATCTGAACCACAGGCTGCATTTCCGGTCTCACAGGTGCACTCACCTGCTCAGGTCATGGAGCTGGGACTTGAGATTCTGACTGAACAGCCACAAGACACAACCTCTTTTCAGAACAAACACAGGGGCAACGAGGCACAGGGGCAATATGGAAATATTCTTTCTGACACACGGCTCCTGGGGACATTGACACCTCAGTACCCGCTATCGGTCAGGGCACAGGTGCAGCAGGCTTAGGGCTCTGCTGCCCAAGAGCAACGTTTCAGAGGCAGAGTGGGGCTCTAACCCTCACGGAATGGAGCGAACAAACAGAAGCGAAATTTGGTAGGTAATTTCCCCTTTTCATGTCTCTGACTTCTGAATTAGTTACACTCCTAGCAGGAAGGAATCGAAATATCAAATAAAAACAACCTGCTTTCCTGTCCGTGCCAACAGTGCTCTCGAAAACATGGTGACATCCCCGAAACCTTCCTGACTTTCTGTAAGAAGTGTGGCAGGCACCGACCCCACAGGGTGGCCCGGGACAAGAAGGGCAAGGACTTGCTGATACGCAGGGAAAGCGGTGTGAGGACAGGACGCAGTGGCTAAGCCGATTTTCCCCTAAAGACTGTGCTGAGGCTTGAATGTGTGGAGCCCAACTGCAGAGGTAAGGCCTGTGAGCATTCTGAACTGGGAGCAGGTAGGAAGAGAAAGGCCAAGGGATCATGTGACCATGGAACCTGGAGGACAGGTTTGCTACAAACAGATACGCAAACAAACAGCTTCCAACAGTCCCTGAGACACAGCTAGAAGACGACAGGGCGGCAGCCAGACATACCGAAGTTTCTTCTGTAGAACTTTTCTTATTTTTCTGTTTCTTTTTCTTCTTTCGGAGTTTGCCACTCACATTCGACTAATAAAAGAAGCACATCTTAGTCAGTGTAAAGAGAGGATGAGATCTTAAACCCTGAGAATAAAGCAGAAGCTGCAGAGGAACAGCGACGCTGGACACAGGCGTGATGTCCCCTCCCTCCCACTTCATGAATGTCCTGTGACCTCACCGACTTCTCTCAGACAACAAATGCCTCCCATCAGTCTCCTGACTCCATGCAGCCTCCACCTTCCTCTCACACCTCTTCCTGATACACCTCAGAGGTCTTGTGACCTGACAACGCCCACAGGGTTCTGATATCCACCCAGCAGCGTTGTGCTTTCATCATTCACTTTGTCACCCACTCTCCCTGACAATCAGCCACCTGGAGACCAGGCCCCACACCACAGGCCCCACACCCATGCCTCTCTGCCTCAACACCTGTCACGCCTTCACCTGGCCTCTCTTTCTATCATAGGGTGAAGACTCCTTGGGGAGCCCCCCTGCCTGTTAGGTCCGTCTCCCCCACCCCGACACTCATCAGGTCTCTCCAACCGTAGTTGTCAGTCCATCCATGTCACCCTCTCGACCAGAGACTCTTGGAGGGCAAAGACTTGTGCCTAGAGCCCAGGAAGCTCCCCAAAGCACGTGTCGAGTAAATGAGCAAAAGGTCTCTGGAGGGACCCTCCCGTGTGCCATGGAGAACACAGAACTAACCTGGCTACACATTTCTTCAAGGCACATCCACCCAGGCCCTGTCCACCTGCCCGAGCCCCAGATGCACAGTCATGCAGAGCGCACACCGCTGAGCAGGGCGACTCTCCCAAAAGGACCTCCTACTATGGAAACTTGTTTAGGGGACCCCGGATAGAGCACCCGTGACATCACCAGTCTTCAAGATTTCATGCACATCTGATCACAACTCCCGAGGAAATCTGGGGGCAACTGGGCATTAACAAGACGAAATTCAGAAAATGACAGCAGAGTGTGTGTGGCTGGCACCCTTGTCCCCACACCTGCTCCAGGGGCCCTGTCCTGTCATCCACCTCTCCATCCTTCCTGGGCTCGGCACTTCCACTCTGGGACTTCCTTTTGCTCCCCGACATCACAGCTTCTGTGCGCAGACCATCGGGCCTCTCCCCGTTCACCACAGGTCCCTCCTCAAGATCCTCAATGTTAATCTGCAGGAACAGAGGGGAGAGAAGAGGACGTCACGGATCATCCTGTTCCAAGTGCATCCTGGAAGTGCTGAGAGGCGTGTCAGTAGCAAGAGCAGAGAGGAGGTGCTGGGGGGGGAGGCACCCTCAAGGCCACTCTGAGATTGTGAAGGAGGAACAGGAACATGTTATGCCTCAAAGCCCCCAGTGCCAACGGTCTCAACAAGTCCTGGTTCAGGGCTCCTTCAGTTGATGAGCCACAGAAAGTGCTGGGGCATAGGTGGCCCTGGTGTCCTGTCTTCAGAGCTGGCATAATGCAGAATCCCACTTATTTCCCGCTCTGAGTGCCATTTGTCTGTCTAGCAAGTCCATAAGTCTTTGTTCATAAAAAGAGCACCTGATGTGAAGATGCCGGAATTTTACCAAACGGGGTCTGTCTCCACCAGTAACAGGGCAATTCCTACCTCGGGCGCCTTCTTTTGTGCAGCAGCACTGGGATGCCAGGGGCTGGCTAAGATCTTGCAGCAAAGGGAGGAAGCTGGAATGAGGCCTCTAGTGGACATTTCCTCCAAACTGGCACCTACCCTTTCCCCAGCATTCAACTAACGGTGCCACCAATGCCTCTCGGTGAAAGTGGGTGCTGACTTCCTATTATGAAGTCATGCTCCCTTCCTTTAAAAAAAATCCTATTTTTTGAGTCCCTTTTGGGAAACTGAGGTGATTTAAGGAATTCAAATTTGTAACGACCTCTATGCCAAGTTCAACCTCAACAGAAAGAACAGTGCGGACTCTATGCCTATGCTGGGCACCGGTATGATGCAGGAAACACAGGTGAGCAAAACACGTGTCACCTGCCCACACAAGGTCAAGGAAGCAAGAACAAGATAAGGCTCCCACATGCAAGATTACAGCCTGAGGCCAGCACTGAGACCCCGCTGTGCTGGACGCCTGGCTGCGGGGACGCGACGATGGGCAGCACACCATGTTCCACGTTGTGAGGAGTAAAGGTGAATGTTTGTAAAGACCCTGCAAGTGCCGGGGTGGAGATCGAAATCAAGGGACCACCCGCCCACCAAGACTCAAAGAAGGGAAGCCCCGCCCACCAACTGATGCCCCGCCCCTCGACTTGACGCCTACGCCCACTCCGCTGCAGCCCAGACCCCCACTGC